AAAAAAAAAAAAAAACCGAAAGAGATACACAAAAAAAAGGTTCTTCCAATATGAAACGTTCGTACAGCTGTACAAACCACGCAACCGTCCAAACGATGAAAACAAGAAAGGAAGTCACAGACGACAACCATGCCGCCATACAATCGACCCAGCTACTTCGCGCAGTGTTGCCAACGGACGCGACCACGTGCCAATTTCTCCCGCCTGCTGATCGCACCAACCCACATGCCATCAACCCCTACCCAAACCCCCTCCCCCCCCCCCCCCCCCCCCCCCCCCCCCCCCCCCCCCCCCCCCCCCCCCCCTCCACCTCCCGTGCACACGGTCCTACATCAGAGCTAGGCGGTCTTGAAGTGCATCCCGCAACAAGTCCCCTTCCACGTTCGTGCTCTGTCGCTGCCCGCCCGGGCCGTTCCCCACAATCCCCAAGTCTACTCTACGACGAATGCCGTTCTCATCCACCTCCCACAAAAGGTTCTCATCGAAGTCGATCCCTGCGTCGAGGAGGATGTTGTGGAGAGTGCACATTGCCACGAATTGTTGTGGCAAGGTCTCCAGGTTCGTCTTGTGGGTGCGCAAAAACAGACGCCACATGCACTTCAGTCGCCCAAATGCCCTCTCCACACACCCCCGCGCCACCTTCTGCCGCGTGTCGAAGCGCTCGTCGTCAGGATGTTGGTCGATTCCTCCGTACGACTGCACGATCCATGGACAGGCAACTGGATAACCGTTGTCGCCTAGCAGGTAACCTCGCGTGACGACAACGTGCGGCAGATTCTTCGGAGGTGCGTCGAACAGCTCGCCAGCTTCTGCACGCCTCTGCAGCTGGGAATTGTGCAGGACGCGTACATCGTGCACGCTTCCCGGGTATCCGATGTGGACGTCGAGGATCCGCAGATCCAAATCCACCACCACCTGCGCCTGCACGGAGAACTTCTGTTTGCGGTCGTAGTAGTTGTCGGAAGGTGCGCCGGCGGGGTTGTCAATGTAGATGTGTGTACAGTCGATCGCGCCGAAGCAGTTTGGGAAACCCTTGTCACGGAATGCGCGCAGAATATGCGCACGTCTACGGCCAACTGGCCACTTGATAGCGTCGGGGTACGCCTGCAGCAGCGCCGAAGTGCCGTCACGGACGGCCTGCAGTCCAGTTGCCCTGCCGATCCCGAAGGAGGAAGTGCCGCTCTCGTACGTCTCTCCTGACGCCCACCTGTACAACGCGAAAGCGATCACCTGCTCCAGTGGCAAAGGCATCCTGTAGTGCGTCACCTTCTTCTCCACGTACACGGCGCACGCAGCAACGATCTGCCTGAACATGGCCAATGACATGCGCAACTTCTGCCGGTAATACTCATCTGCCGCGTCATCACAGAGGCGGAGATCCTCCCATGTCCCGCCAGTCCGTCGTTTGATCCACCAACACGGGGTCCGCCGCGGGAAAACGCCAAATGACAGCGCGACGCACAACTGGACGACTGCCTCACACGTTGCCACGCAATCCGGCGCTTCGCCAATGCGCTGCAATTGCGCTCTTCGTTTTCGGAGCTGTGTCAGCATGTCGCTTGAGGACGACGACATGCCGCCCATCGTGTTCACGACGACGGCAGTGACCGCCATCGCGACCGCGTCGATCTCCTCTTTGCGCAGACCGTGCCCGCTGACACGAAGATCAATCTCTGGGAATCTTCCTCCCCGAAGAGCAAGACGCCTGCCACAAACGCCGAAGACACGCCCGCTGCTGAACCAAGTGAAGAGAGACACGCACACTGGACCCGTAGATGAGGCCGCTGACGTACGCTGCAACAGAAGATGGCGTGCGTCGGAGTCCACAAGACAGCACACAGCGATGGTGGCGACGATGCGCCTTGCCGGAAGTTGCCCCCGCTGCTCGCAACTCGCGTGGACTTGGAAGATGGATACCCGCGCTGAATGCTTCGCCAGCGCTGTCTTTTGTACGTCAGACGCGTCGCCCGGCTGTCCTCCACCCCTGCCGCCTTGCGTCCGCGAAAATTCGAATTTGAATTTTTCAAGTTCGGGGTGACCACCTTTTTCACCCACCCCTCCTCGCCCGCCCAAGGCCTCCGCAGTGTGTACCACGGACACCAGCCAGGACCCGGCGGACATCGGCGACGCGGCTGCGTATACGAATATGAGAACGGGCCGCGGGAGACATTTTAGGACGAATCCTAAAAGACGATTTTTAGGACTGCATGTAACGGCGCCGCACGGAATCCTAAAAATCCTTTAGGACTCGTCCTAAAAATTTTAGGATTCTTTTAGGAGTGTCTAACGAGACCCTAAGGCTGGATTGCAAAAGTGGTGTGGAGCGGAGATCATGAAGAAGGGATGAGGGACTTGGAAGAGATGAGAGATTATAGGTTAGTGTTTAAGGATTGGAGTAATATAGAGCCCATGTTCCCATTACGCCCTCCCTCAGACTTCCCAGACCCCTTCCCACCCCACGCCCTGTCCCTGGCAGAATTAGAATTTTGGTCCTGATCCTCAGACCCCCTCATGTCCCTTTTGTCTATCATCCTATTCGCATTCTATTCGCTCTCCACTGACAACCACGAGGAACTTCTCCTCAGTGCCCCCTGGGGAGAACCTCGCTCACCTACAAAAGCAGCCTGCATTGGCAGTCAGAAGGCTGGGTTTGGAAGCAAGCAGCTGGTGACAGTACCTGGCGTCCTCTGAGGATGAAGAGATACAGAGGCAACAGCTGGCTCACACAGTTTACACAGGTCTGCTCAGTTAATCCCCTGCTCTGCAGGGCAATCAATGCTGGCAGGCAAGCCTTTGGCTCCCACACAAGCCCGCTCAGTTAATCCCCTGATACTGCAGGGCAATCAATGCTGGCAGGCTCCACAGTCATCACAGTCTCCCGATCCTTCTGAAATATTCTATTCATGCAAACTGGGACGCTGGACCCGATTTCCAGCAGGTGACGCTCCCCACCAATAGATGGAGCCTCTCCGCCGATGGTAGTGCTGTCTGCCCTTATCAGCAGCACTAACACCGGAAGCCTGCGGAAGGGGTGTTTTGGTTAAAAAAAAAAAAAAAGGGGTAACTTCGGCGCAGTCACGAAAACAGTTTGTAATTGCACAGTTTGTAATTGCACTTCAGGCAATCCTGCGAATACAACACAGCCCCACGCTACCCCACCGGACCGGAAAAGTAGGTCATATACATTCAGCATTACCGGCCCTTTTGCCTCAAGTGCAATTACAAACTCAAACCCTGACTGCGCCGTAGTTTTCTCAAAAAAAAAAGGAGTAACAAAAATACCGTTTTTGAAAAGTTTCTATGGAGAAAAATAGTAAATACCCATAATTTTCATGTTTGCAACAAATATACCAGGGGTCTAGTCCCACCTACAGCGTTGAGTTTTCTCAACGCTGAGCTTTCTATCACGCGCGGCATGGTGGGACGGAGCTCTGCCGTTGATGTATTGCGATCTGATGGTGCCGAAATACAGGAGAATAACCTATTAGATTTTGTCTTTTTGTAGAATTTTTATTTGACGTGAAAACCGTTTTGTAGTATGCTTTGGCCCTTTTGGTTTGGGCGGGAAACCATTGTGCGTCGAGAAAACTACCCTACCCTCGGTAGGGTAGATTTCTCAACGGCCGTGCCTTTCCTTTTTTCGGTTTTTGAGACATCATTGCATCCTGAAACGGAGGAAGTCTGACAGCTGTGTTTGGCTCTCTGGCATGAAACTCGTTTCCTTCTTTGGGCAATGAATGCATTTGGCCATCCAAGTTGTCCCTGTCCATTTTACGAATGGTGACCTCCTGTCCCCTCACCACGGGGAGTAGCCCTTTTTCACGGAGACGGTCACTCCGACTGTTCCAGACATTTTTCATTTCTCC